GCTTGTCTGTGGGGGAACCGCGGTACCGCGAAGCTCACCTGGTCCGCGTCTTCCCAAGCCGTATGGGCGCCGGCCACTGGCGGCCCGGGGGCCTCCTCGGTTCTCCGTTTAACGTGAAGTGGAGATTCTCTGCGCCGGCTCTAGCCGCCATCTTGGAATTCTCCTGTTTACTTCTTCATATGTCTCTTAACCATTCCCCTAAAAACTTATGCTGCTCCAGTGACACTGAATTACCTCTCTTTCCCTCATAGTACCATCCTGCTTTCCATTTCTATCTGTCCTGCCCTCTTTCTCCAATTCTGCTAGCTGTTATTTTCTTCCAGAAATTCCATTCCTAAACTCTAGGTTGGATTATTATTCCCCCTTCCATTATCCCATCAAATCCTGTTCATACACCATCACAACATTTGTCTTATCATATAAAATGTTCTTATTTTTATATGTCTCCTCCCTGAAATGAATGGTACATTGAAAAACCAAGACTGCAAACTTAGCCTAACAGCCAACTCTTGCTTCCACTCCAATATGGGGTTTAGTGTCACCTCTCAGAAAGGCCATGTTGGATCCCCTGTCACATCTTCATTTGACTCACAATCCTTTCTTTTTCTTCATGCACTTACTAATTTATACCATTCTGTTGTATATTTACACGTTTCCTTACAACTCATCTTCCCACTAAAATCTGAGCTCCTTGAGAACAGGAACGTTTTTTGCCTTGTTTATCTTTTTATATCACCACTGCCTAGGAGATATTTTGAAATGTTTCAAAAGTGAGTTAAATGAATGGAGGATAGTTGACTCAATGGTTTGATGGATGGATAAACACATAATAAAAGCTGAGTCAACTAGCCAGACTTGAATTGGCCTATTCATACTAGATAAACAATATACAGAGCAATGATAGTCTCAGCTTACTTTTTTAACACCTCAGAGGATGCTAAAAACAACCATAGACATATTTACTTCTGTGAACCACTGTCACAGGCTGTCACCACTGTTTTAATGCATCCCAAGGTGTGACACACTGTCATATCCTGAGTGCCACTAGTGATATTCCTCATGTTCTCTTCATACTAATTCTCTTATCCTCATGCTGTGTAGGATATTCCCTAAAATAAAGTAATAGCAGAAGAAAAATATCATAACCAAACTATTAAGAACCCCTGCACTCTGCACTCCAAATCATAGACATATTTTACAAGATTAACTTCCCTCTCCACAAGTTTCCTCATTTATAAAACAGGGGTAATAAGATTTTTTTCTTTAAAATATTATTTTGAAGATCATATGGATGCACTTTTCAAACCTTAGAGTTCTCATATGGTTTAATTATTTTAGCAAGTACTACTATATATCTCTTTTCTCATTTATTCATAAGGATGGCAAGCACAATGTATATCTCCATGTTATCTTTCTTTTTAATTATTTTTTTGTTAGTTGCTTAAGGTTACTTAATCTTTCATGTATAATCATTTGCATTCTAAAGTTCAACTCCTCTGGTTTTTATAACTGTTGAATTTAATAGAGCATTGGGGAAAGAGAGAACATGAGCAAAAGGAAGTTGGATTTGGACCTTTTATTATGATGACATCTGTCTGATTGTGGTCCACATGAATAGTAAAGAAAAGCTGCTGTTGTGACAACTTGCCAGTGTGCAATAAATATAAGACTTTAATTTGCTCATTAGTTTACCTTTCCCCCCAAAACACTATTATTAACAACAGCATATATTTATTGAGCTCATCCTGAACAGTGTACATCTAAGCATGCAACATGAAATAGATCCAGTACTGCTCAGAAAAACCTGGAAGGCCTGAATCACCTCAGTGTAGTCCTCTAAAGAGGAGCTTCCAAGTGATCTTACAGAGCCATGCTCATTATTTTTAAACAATTTATAGATACAAAGGAAAATCACTTTTCACCCTTCAGGTAAGTAAGTAAGGTGAAAGCACTTAGACTCAGGATTCATTCAAGATTGAATGAAATTCTTACTTACGCTTTCAGCAGTAAGATTTTCTAACTCTATGTAGGTCACATAGAGTATATATGTAGATGTAGTAAAAGAATGTTTCAAGGCAAGCAAAACAAATAGAATTGAATTGAGGACTGAAATAAGCAATGCTAATTTGACATCACAAAAATGAGACACATCATGTAAAAATATTTTATAGACTATGAAACCCTCTATACATATAACGTGTTAATATGTTTCTTGGTTGTTTTTAAATGAATGAATGAATGTGCATGACTAATGAGGGAATGGCAGTGATTGGGAGCCTTAGGCAGATATATTTTAAAAATCACTCATTGGTATTTGCCCTATCTGATAATACAACAGCTCACAGCCAGTGTGTTTACTGATGTGCTAGGTAATAAAGGTAGGTTGCTTGGTTAAGAGTACTAAAATGGTAGTTTGAAATCTACTCTTCTCATGTCCCACATAAGCTCATCCTATAAACCTAACTGAGGGCAACAGGAGATGAGAAAAAGACAACAGACAGAATATCAAACATGAATAAAGCTGGGGCCAGGTAGGCTGGCACTCAGATGGAGACACACCAGCCCCTCCACCTCCAGTGAGTTTATTATATACAGTGGCAACATGAGGTGGAGAGGCAGTTCTCAGGGGAGGGAGTGTGACATAGTAATCCTTGGGAATAGGAGGAACCTGTGACAGCTTCTCTCTGAATGTAAACATTAAAGGAAAAAACAGTTGTACTGCATCTTGCCCACTTCTGCAGCTGAAGCTGTGCCAACTCAAGCATGCAGTTTATTGGGCATAACTATGCTTGCTCCCTTCTGCAGTTTGGGGCTGTGCCAAATTCAAACCTGCAGCTTATTCAATGCACCTGTCCACTCTCCACAACTCTTTCTTTAAAAATTGTCACAAAAACTACATAAGGTCTTCAGGTGTACATTTGTAAATGACACTGAGTTCTTACTAAGGCTATAACACAACTTAATTGATCAAGGTTGGTTCTGCAGCTCTGCCAGCCAATTTAGTAGCCTAAAATGAATAGCCTGCTTTCTACTAAATGAACTCCCTGATTACTGCATTATTATGTCAAAAACTCCTGCAAAGGAAGAACAAGAATCCTTGAGACTCTTCTAATGGCAATATTCTTAAAAGCTAGGCTCCTGTATCTTTTAAAATCTAACCAAATGTTATCATGACAGTTTTATAGTACTTTTATGAGGTCTACAAGGGTCTTGAGGTTTAAAATGGGAAACAAGATAAAAATCCAAAGAATTGACACTTGAGTTTTTTTATGTTAACTATTTTGGAATGTGAAAATAAAATTATTATCTGCGGCTTAAAAAATGAAAGACTTCTTGTTCTAATGACTTCAAAATGGTAAACCTTTATAAAGTGTCAAGCAGTATGTTTACACCAATGAAAATATACTTATCAATGAGAAATATCTTTCACTCTTTTAAAAATATATTCCATTGATGGAATTCAGCCCTTCATATATTCAACCTCCATCTGAACACAAGCATTTTATTACAAGTTAATATTATGCTTCTGTAATAATTAAAATCTAAAGTGTTCTTGGTGGCAGTCACCAATCAAGTTGCTATATATATACTGACATTTAATAATGGCAATGTGCTCTTTCCATATATTCAGGAATTCTGGTAACAGTGTAGCAGATTTCATATTACAATTATATATATTTTTCAAATCTTACATTAAAAAAGTTTGAACATAATTTATGAATTGTTAATGAAGTTTTAAAAAGTACTAGTTTTGTTATATCATAATTCTATTTATTATGAATTTTAAAAACCAAATTTAAAAAGTGAAATTTTATGAGATAAAGAAATTCAAATACATACAATGCATATAACTATATATAATGTAAATATATATAATTTTAAGTCAATTTACATCTTTTATAATTTTCACAATTCACATATTCAGAATGTGAGAAAAATATCATTTGAATCTATTCTTTGTTGATCACATTTTTATTTTTTAATTAGGATATTTTCATAAGTTTCCAGATTTGTAGGGGGAAAAAAAGATGGTTAAGATTTAAGTGTAGAATCCTTTCATTTATAGTTGTGAATTTTGAACTATAAATATTGGATAAATATTTTTAATATCTTGATTTATGGAATAGTATACAAACTGTCTTATATAATGTTGTCTCAGAGTTACCTGTAACCTTAGAAAATGATTTGTTTATATATTGTTTATAATTCATAATATGTCATATGTAATTATTACATCTTTTAATGTTGACAGTCTTATATATTGCCTGTTTTGTTTTGTTTTTGTTTTTGATAGTACAGAGCCTCACTTTTGCTAGGCAAGGTCTCACATGTCCTTTTTGTGAAAGTATAACTGACAATGATTACAAAAGTTTGTTAAAAAGTTTATAATAACAAAAAATTCTGTAAGTACAAAAATGGCTTTGAGTCAAAATTCAGATGTCAAGAAATATAGTCAAGAATGATAGACAAGAAATAATGGATCAACAGATATTTGTTGTGGGTTTTTTATTTATAAGAGCTGCTAATCTCTGAAAATGTAAAATGCAAGATAGGGCTTTTAAATTTCTGGTTTTCATAATTGACCAGAGCATTATGCTTTTGTTGACATGATCTACAACCAAAAAATTAACTTTAGCCTAATTGTAATACACATGGGAAATGTCTATTTAGTGGCTACTCCCAAAGTAAGGAAGAAAAGAGTGTCATGACTAGGATGAACTATTTCCTGAATGTGGTGATAAATAACAGATTTGTACAGTGGCTAGAGCTTAAATGACATGACAGCAAAAATTTAAATTACTTAAAAAGTATTTCTTATTAGGGCTCGTGTAGTGGCTCAAGTGCTTGCCTAGCAAGCCTAGTAAGCATGAGGCCCTGAGTTTAAACCCCAGTACCAAAAAAAAAAAAACCAAAAAAAGTAATTACTATCAAACCTAATAACCACATTTTGCATCTGATTATTTCTAATACATTTCCATTTTTTCCTGATTTTTTCCCAGAATGCTCAGGTCCATTGGGAATTGAAGGTGGAATTATATCAAATCAGCAAATCACAGCTTCATCTACCCACCGAGCTCTTTTTGGACTCCAGAAATGGTATCCCTACTATGCACGTCTTAATAAGAAGGGGCTGATAAATGCCTGGACAGCTGCAGAAAATGACAGATGGCCATGGATTCAGGTAACAATAGGATGGGACAAAGTTATTACCCAAATGACCAGATCATTTATGAAAGTAGACAAGGGAAAATTCATTGTGACTCTTAATCACATCAGAGGAGAGGCTAATTTAGTTAAGGGGCAAACTGCTACAAATTCTAAAAATATGACAAACAAGCATATCTTAAAAGGATTAAAAATCTTAAAATTCTTGGGGTGCAAATATATTATTTAAAGGTATATCAAAGAAGAAGGCTTTCTTATAAGCATGTCTTCGTTCACACTCTGTAGCTACTTATGATGTTACAAGAAAATAAAATATTAAATCTGTTCCTACTCTATCTAATGACTGATCCTACCTGTGCAAAAATAAATGTGCAATGGATTGCAATGATACTCAACCGTCTTCAGTAACCTCTTTCAATAATGTACTCAAGATATTTGAGATACTGAGTCTTTCCCAAAGAAGATGCACGTAGTAGTATTGCCAACATCTGCTATTCTAGTCATTTAAGCATGTTTTGAGCATTTAGGTGAAGCAAAACCATAAAGTAAATGTATTAGAACAAAAAAGATGATCAAAACTGGTTCCTGTTAAGAATTATAACTGTTAATGGGGCACATTCCTAACTAACAAGTCATTGATGTGTGCTAATGGGAAGAAAAATCCAGAATACCACAGTAAGAGGAAGAAGTGATTACCTTTAGAAAGCAGAAAGGGAAGATAGCTTTTGAGGTATGCCTTGGAAGATGCTGCGGAATAGCATAATTAAAGATGCCACATGAGAATCTGTGGAACATCATGCAGAAAATCATGACAAATCAGGTTGCTGGAAGAATTTGTTCAAATTTAATGTCTGATTTGGTGCTGCTATAGGATCATACTCAAAGATTTTGGCCTTATTCCATTAGCATAGGGAGCTAATTTTGATTAGTTTATGTGGCTGATCTCTTCTGTTTACAACATAGTTTAAGTCAGAGAAATGATGTCCCTACTGTGACACTATTAAGTACAATATATAAAGGTTGCATTATAGGTATTTAGGAGGCAGGAAAATTGATTTGTATCCAAGTGGCAAGAATCCCATACTTTAGGAACTGGGACAGAATTGCCTTCAGATGCTTCTTTTGTTGAGGTTTCTGTAATTCTCACATAACCTATGTGCACTTCTTTTAACTAGAAATTAGTTATATGAACCATACATTAGGTATATGGTTACCTAAAGGTCTTGTTTTATTCTATGAATTTGTGTTTGCATGCGTTTGCAGAAATTGGTTCTTAAATTACACTTGACTTTTCAATTCATAGCCACATGTGCAAAGAGAATTTCCGATAATGAAAATACCCTCTCTAGACAATTTTGATCGGAGACTAATGACCCAATTACGGTTTAAAATAGATATGAAATATGAAAATGCATGTGCTTTGTTTACTAATAATCATTCCAGAGACAGTTTTAGTCACTATAGTTGACTTTCGGAAATGCACCTGTGGAATAGAAGTCAGGATAAAACTTCAAAAAGTCCTAACATTGTATGTCCTGATTTTATCATTGTACCAGTCTAATTCCTACTTAATACTATGCATCATTCTGCTTTTAAAGTAAAAATTTTAAGTTCTCTTTTTCACACAGATTGTAGGTAGAAGTAGCTTCAATGGAGCAAGACAATAACCATCTGAGGGAAGTTTAGATTAAATATGACTTTATGTTCATCTTAAGCAAACTAAAAACTTCTTTTACTTTTAAAGGCAGTAGGGATAGCGTGATTATCATGAGGGTGATTTTATCATTTTTCTGTAGATAATGAACTCTTAGAGAGAAAAGGAGTAAACATAAATACAACACGTGTATAATGGGTAAATAAAAACTGCATATAATAGGTGAAATACTAAAAATTCATCACTGTTATCCACTAAATACTTCGTAATTGTGTTGAAAATATGTATTTCATTATTATATCCTTTAATAATAATTTATTTCTTAAGTAATTTTTCTAAAAAAAAATCATTATCAAGTACTTAAAGGAAAACCATGTTTAAAAGACTTTGAGAAATTTAATCCTCTGTGTTGGAGCACTCAGTATTAATTCTTCTAGTCACTTAATTCTTTTATTTATATTCAGTCCTTCCAATGAATCGTTTGAGTACTTTTCTTATACCCACTTGTAATAAGGGTAGTATTCTCCTAATCTTTCAGGTATGTGACAAATGTGTACTTCTTAATATTCAGTTAAATTTCTTCCCTGTCTTGATAAATGAAAATTGAAATTGCCATTTTAAATTAGCATGACCAGCAGGTGATTATTGATCGCACCACAGTGCTCATAATTGGCTCTGGATTGAAACATCAGTGCATTGATGCAGTCAAACAAGACTTTTTCATTTCACAAGTTTTTCAGATCTTTATTTCTTCACTTAGACTTTTCCAACTATTAAATAACCATCAATAGACATTAGTTCATTAGCATCCCGGAATGTAATTTTCTATTTTTGAGTAATGATAGAAATAGCAGTTTTACCTGACTATGAAAATACATCTCAGATTATCTCACTTAAAAAATAAAAAGATTTTTTTCAAAATCTTTGAGTGCTTAACTAAATAAGGCTAGCCAGAATGATTATTTCTTATTTATTTTAAACATATTTTATTTTCTACACGTGTGTATTTTATATAGCGATATGCAGTAATTTTTTCATTGTTTTAACATTTTCTAAGAGATTTTTTTTGCATATGCAGTAAATTCTAACCACTCGTTTATCCATCCATTTAATAAACATTTACTGAATCAATGTTTACTCGCATGCTATCATTTTTTTAAAGTTTTAATTTTTTTCCTGTATTGTTATGCCGGGTGGAGGTATATTGTGGTATTTAACACAGGTTCTTACAATGTATCAAATATATCATACATGAATTCACCCCCTCTCCAGTCTCCTTTATATCCCTCCCCCACCAATTCCTGGAGTAGTTTCAATGCATTCATTTACATACATGTGTACAAATTTTTTGCACGGTGTTCTCCCTCCTAACCCCCTCCCTCCCACTGGTGCCAGCCTTCTCCATTGGGGAAGAATTTTTCTTAGATTTTGTAGAAGAAAAAAGACAAAAGATAAAATGAAAAACACTACATTTTATCTTGTTTGAGATAAAGATAGTTACTCAGGGAATTTTGATATTTCCATGTATATATGTATTATAAAACCAATTGGTTTATCTCCTCTACTTTTCCTCATTCTATCTTAGTCCCTTCCTTGTAGTGGTTTCCCTTCTTAGTCACTAGGAAAAAAATGAAAAACAGTACTTACCTTCAAGATAGTTTGAGTTTAGGAAATAGAAAAGGAAGCAGAGAAAAGGGATTAATACAGTAGATTAATACAGTATTAATACAGTAGTGAATGATTCATTAAGCTATTCCACTCAAATCATAATATTTTATTATAACCAAATGACCTATTTTAATAGAACTTTCATTAAACCTAAAACTACATTATCATCATATTTTTAGAATACAAGGAAATAAATTCCCATTATGAAATTACATATAGGTGTATTAATACATATTGATATATTTAATGCATAAGATATTAAATAAGAGTAAGCCACATTTTCATTTGAAAGTTAATACTGTGGGTTGTGCCAGTAATAACACTTTACTGCTGAGAAAAAATAGGATTTGATCTTTCTTTTTTAAATAATTCACTACCCTTGCAGAAAATGTGGTTATGACCTTAATATGTTCTTTTCTATATATCACAGTTTGTGAGTGGAAGAGATAGATATTTCCTAAACTTTAATGTGCACAGGGATCATGGGTCACTTAGTAAAAATAGAATTTTCTGGCCCTACTGCAGATCAACCTCAGACTGTACTCTTGAAACTTGTCTCATTGGCTTGGAAAGCTGAGATAACTGCCTGAGTTATAGAAAAAGGATAAATAAAAAACAAACACTTTTGCTTGATGATCTGGACACTTCATTGTTGAAATCACAAATAATGATTGGCATAGGTTGGAGGAACAGGAAAGATGGTGAAGTAAAATAGGAAAGATAGTGGAAAATATGGCCCCCAGTGAAAAGTCTGTAAACTGGAGGGAGGCAGACCCAAGCCATGTAGCTTTATCAGAAGTGCATCCAGCTTCAGCAGCAATTCACAAGTAAATATTGTGCATTGGTTATGAAGCAGATATGCTCCTAAATGACCTAGATTATTTTTCATTACAAAATTTAGATTATTGAAAAGCAAAACCATGTTATTTTTGTATTGTAATCAAAATTATAGCTAGTGTAGAATAACTCTTGGACCTCCAAAGATAATAATTGGTCAAAAATTATACTAAAAGTTTACAGAGTGCAAATTCTATACATACATTAAAAAACACTTTGATGACAGTGAGATTGAGAATGCCACGAAAATAGACAAGTCATCTATTTCATTTCAGAAGTCTGTGTATAATGGGTGGAAAGTATGTTGGTATGTATTGACACCTGAAGCTCCTTGAGATACATAAGTCATTTTAAAAGCTTAGAATTCAAGAAGGTGTAAATATGCATATATACATAAGATGTATGTATGTATATATAAGATGTATATATACCTTCTTAAATTTTAAATTAACTTTTAAATTTTTCAATTTGTTTTTTCATTCTAGAACCTATACATAAGAGGTATGTATATATATATAAGATGTATATATGTATATATACCTTCTTAAATTTTAAATTAACTTTTAAATTTTTCAAGTTGTTTTTTCATTCTAGAACCTAAATCTCAAAGAATTTCATCCATCTTTACTATTTGCTCATTCACATAAAAATTATTTTAGCCCTTTTTCTGTGAAAACAAAAGTAGATTGCTAGATATATTCTTGCCCATAGCATGCACCTTTCTGAGGCCAATTTTAGCTAGTCATTAATACATTGCTTCTTCTGATCCTGAACAAACACTGATCCTGCATTGAAAATGACTATTTTATTTGATTTGTTTGTTAGAACTGAGCTTTCATACATAATTGTACATTTAA